ACATGACTTCAACTTGGGACCTGCCACCTGCCCCCCCCCCCCTTTCCCCCTGCGTCCCTCCATCATGCCAGCGCGCGCTTCCAGGCGCCCGTTGGGTTGCCTACCCTCCCGGAGGGCCGCACGTCGGCTGCTGCCATAGCCACGTCACACCGTCACGGCAAGAGATCGGTGGTCACGGGACGCACTCTCGGTAGGACGAAGGGATTAAATCAGGAACAGATAACCAGTCTTATCGACAACAACGGTTTACTTTCTCAAGTTCAGTCTTTGGCAACAGAAATTCAGCAACAGGAATAGGCAAGTTATATTTTGCCTTCTTAAAATAAAATAAAATCTACACGTAAAATGTGACATGCTTATAATCGATATATATCCTCCTTTGAATTAGTTGCGGTAGACCATAAAATATCGGATCAACAAAGGCAAAAAAACGACCAGAATTTAGGAAGTGATGTCAGACTTTGGTATTTGCCTAAAGGCACCATCAGTCCTTATAAGTATAGAACTATGACAAAAAATTATTAAATATACTACAATTCGCTCTTGGCTCATCAACAATAAATACATTGGAAGTTTGCATTTAACTGTTGATCACAGCATGGTTTGGTTTCCACGGTAGAACTTCAATCTACGAAAGACAGTATCACAGAATAAATTATTTTTATATGTACACAAAAATTGCTCCATATAAGCAATTTTGCATTAATAATAGATATGGCTAGTATGCAAGAATTAAGATCATTTCTTAAATTAAAAAAATGACAATTAGGTTGAATAACTAGATCACATGATATTAAAAGACATAAGGGAAACATCAAATAGTCATAATATCAGATATCATGTTACAGGAACATTTGTTAAAGTAAATCTTGATGTCTAGGTAATACTGCGTACATCAAACAAGTTACAAAAGGTGGAAAAAAACACACTCAAGAAATTTTGTGTAACATAAGACATTATGTTCTAATACTTTACAATAATACCCACCGCAAAGACCTCTCAATATTTAAAACAGGATTATCAAGACCAAAGAAAATAAAACAAATGCAACTGAAACACTGCTTAGAAACATCAATCAGTGAACAACAGTGAATACCTTTGCTTTTGCTATGCCAGGTATGAGAATTCATTTAAAAATTCATTTACACAGGTTGTGTTAGAAAACCCATTCATCAAAAGTACAGGAATGCAAATGAATTTTTGATCACACTGGTAACAATGGGGTCTTACTCATGTTCATGCTGCTACTGATTTTGGAGGTGAACAACTTGGTGAAGAAGCTTATACCTGTCCTCCCACCAGGAATGGAACTCATCAAGAAAAATAGAAGGGCAATAATTTGTAAAACAGCACACAACACAGTCAATGGAGTGCTTTGGGCAAAGAGGGCAAAGTAGAGGGTAGCGAAAAGAGTACCAAAATATGATACTGTAAACATCATTCTTTCTCGAGAGAAAAGGTGGCGTAGGTGGCTCATCGGGCCCCAAAGAAATGAGAAGCTGAAACAATAAACATAAATTATATTTCCTTGGTTGTAGATGTGTGAAAATAACCACTTCTCACTAACCTAATCTTACCTGCATATGAAAAACAAACTGCCCATTGTATAAAGCAGTGCGAATTTCCTTGCTTTAAGAAGAAGAACTGGAGCATAAAATGCTGCAAGGGAGAAACAAATCATTCCCATACATATACAGAGGCAGAATCCGACAATTCTCTGCATTCGACCCTGCAACAAGAAAAAAATTCCAAGGTGAAACAACATGTGTGCGAGAAAAATAGAGTCAGCAAGTAAATCCCAAAGACTTATTTGATTCGATATATATAGCTATACAATAACATAAACAACAGGTACAGGTTATGAAACTCACCATACTGGGGCAGCAGTCCTTTTGGGTTTCTTGAAACCAACCGTAGCTGGTTTCTTCCTGAGGAGCATTTTGCTTTTTTGTCCATTTTCCAAATTCAGGTAGCGCGAAAGAAAGTGACAAATTACTGTGTTTTGCCTGCGGTTTGTCATTGTTTCTTGACAAATAGTCGTCCAGATCTTTTTTCAAGTCTGCCATATTGCACTACTAGATGTGGACACTGAAAATTTGTCATACCTAAACGTCAGATACCCGTACGTGGATTATATGAGAAATTTACAGATCACGAACCTCATCTGTCAGCGAGACGCGCGTGATTTGAAATGTTTCCAAGACTGAAATTCTCGACACAGAGGAACGCGTCGGCGAGTAGTGCAATAATTGATGGTGAGAACTGCAGACAATGGTGCTGGAGAATTACACTTTTCTCCACACCCTCTTCGAAATTTAGGGATGTAAATATTTAAAATAGGAAAATTATCTAACATAAGTATAGATTAGTATTTAGTGGTACCGGATTTACAGGGGGGCTGATTAACCTCGCGCCCTTCCCTGGTTACTCAGTACTGCATTCATAAGTGCTGGCGGGTTGCCTATTCGCTCGACCCGTAAGGGGCGTTAAGGCATGCATGCCCATAGCCATAGCCCGCACGCCAAATAATGAGCGTGCTTAATCAACCACCTGGTATTTACTCATTTAGCTTGATAGGTGGGACGCGGTGTCGACTTGACAAGCTGCGGTAACGTCGCCCAGCGCCTAGGGGTCGCCTAGCCAAGGTCGTGTCGTCGTGCCGTGTCGCGTCACATTTTCTTATCACGCGAAAGCGAAGAGGGGAGGCGGCGACGGCTCGCCGTGCCGCGCCTTGTTGTGGTGCGAATGAAGACGAAAGACATTGGCAAGAGCACGGGGGTGGAGGAAATCGGAGAGGGAGGGAGGGAG